TATTCGTTAGTAGTAAATTTGCTCGATGATGCGGATGGTGGTAATGGAGGAAGGTGTAGGACAACACTAGAATGGTTAGTAGGCGGGATCTAAGGATTCAACAAAGCACAACAATTACAATAACTACAACTAATTTGTGGTCATAATAAAAGTTAATAATACGAATATTGCCATAATATGTTTGTTTTGTTCTTTGGGATTTATTCGAATAAAAAATAATAATTTCAATTATTTTTATATGTGTGACAGTGGATCAAAATACAGTGGATCAAAATAATTAAACTACTAATATTTCCATGATTAATAAATTTACAATTACAATTCTGCAAGTCATTATTGAAACGTTTTTTTCTGAATTAATGGATATTCTAAAATAATTCCATTCGATTCAATTTAATTATACGATAATTAATGATAGTACTATAAATATAATTACTTATCATTTATCGTTTGACAATAATGTCGTATAAATTATCTTTACTATTAATATAGACTTGACTATTTGTTTCAAAAATGTTTATAAATAAAAAATAACTTTAAACCCGTTTTTACAAGGGTGGATTATTTAGATCTTATTGTGCAAGGATCATCACAGCTATAAGCATGGATTTGAAACAGAAAATAAAATAATTGTTTTAAGGTTTATCATAAACGTTAGCATTGGTTTTTAAAGAATATTTTTTCAAGAATCTGCTAATAATAAGTGTAGATTTTTTAAAGAATATTTCTTTAAGAATCACATTTTTTTCAAAAAAGTTCTACTAAGGATCATCCTAACTGTAGGTGTGAATTTTTTAAAGAGTATTTTTTCAAGGATCGTCTAAGCAATACGCTTGGATTTGTTATATAATATTTTTTCCAGGATCGTCTAAACAATTGTCGTGGATTTTTTATATAATATTCTTTTAAGGATCGTCCAAACAATAGTCGTCGATTTTTTATATAATATTTTCTCAAGGATAAACAATAGGCGTGGATTTTTTATATAATTATACCCTACACAACTATGTTGTCAGGATATTATAGCTTTGTGCAGCCCCAAGAGTTTGTAACGCCGCGAAATATTGGTCCTAGACCCACCTTTAAGTATACCGATCGTCATATCTCGACTAGCTGAGTCGATCTAGACATGTGTGTCCGTCCGTCCGTCTGTCCATTATAATTTGTAAACACGATACAGGCCACAGTTATGGACCTATCATCACGAAATTTTGTATGTAGGAAGGGTTCGGCCCAATGAAGACCCCTATTGTTGTGTTGGTAAATATCGGTTAATATTTAGGGGATGAAATGGACCAAATACTTAATTTTTGCCGGTTTTTCTGGTCGCTCCAGAGGCCGCAGTTATGGCCTAAACATCTTGAATTATTAAATTGAGAAGGGGATTGGGCCAAAGAAGTAACATGCCTGTTTTGATAAAGATCGGTCAATATTTAGCGGGTCAGATGGACCCTGACTTTTGTGTGAATAATTACAAAAGTTGTATTCTATAGCGTATATATTTACCTCTGAAGAACATAGACCCGAGAAGTTGATAATATATCCAAGTATAGTGGTTGACCTTTAAATTGATACCAATTGTATTGTCGTATGTACTCGGATGTGGGAGTTACACCTAAATATTTACAGGATCTTAAGTATTCAGATATTATTTAATAAACCATTAGCACACTAGAGGGCGGAAATATAGCGCGGATCGCTTTGAAATGATGCAGTTATTGTCAAGGACAACGCCTACAATTTTCGGGGATAATCGGATAATAAAATTGAGATGAAGTGGACCGAAAACTTAACGTGTTGTGTTTTTTTTTTCGAGTCGATCTATAGGACGCAATTGAAAGCCGAACATCACAACACATGTTCGAATATGGTTATATGGACAAGTAATTAGAAGGGCTGTTCTGAATATTGGTAATATTCGGAAAATATGTCAGTGTAAGGAAGAGGTGTTGTTGACCTCTAATCGGGCAAGAGGGTGCAATTATCACGAAATATTACCCAAGCTCGGAATAAAAATCCGCAGAAAGATAGAGTTTTGTGGTAGTGGTGTAGGGTATCATATGGTCGGCCCCGTCCGACTATACTGCTCCGCTCACTGGTATTTTTTCAAGGACCGTCTACACAATAGACCTGGATTTTTAAGGAATAGGAGTGGATTTTTTAAAGAACATTGTTTCAAGGATCGTCTAAACAATAGGCGTGGATTTTTGAAATGAATAGGAGTGGATTTTTTAAAGAATATTTTTTCTTAATATGAATGAATTTGGATTTTTAGGAAATTTTATATTTTCTCACAAGGATCATCATAGGAATGGGCGTTGGTTTTTAAGGATTTTTCTCTCAAGGATCATCATAAGAATAGTGGTGAATACTTTTAAAGATTTTTCTCTCAAGTATCGTCATAGGAATATGTTTTAAGGATTTTTCTCTCAAGGATCATCATAGGAATAGGCGTAAATTTTTTTTAAAGAGTTTTCTCTCAAGAAACATCATAGGAATAGGCGTTGATTTTTTCTCTCAAGGATCATCATAGGAATATGAGTGGATTTTTTAAGGATTTTTTCTCTCAAGGATTAGCATAGGAATATTATATGCGTTTTTCCTCTCAAGGATCATCATAGGAATAGTCGTGGAATTTTTGAAGATTTTTCTCTCAAGGATCATCATAGGAATAGGCTTGGATTTTTTAAGGATTTTTTCTTTCAAGGATCATCATAGGAATACAAATGCATTTTTTCTCTCAAGGATCATCATAGAAATACGAATGCATTTTTTCTCTCAATGATCATCATAGGAATACGAATGCATTTTTTCTCTCAAGGATCATCATAGGAATACGAATGCATTTTTTCTCTCAAGGATCATCACAGGAATACGAATGCATTTTTTCTCTCAAGGATCATCATAGGAATACGAATGCATTTTTTCTCTCAAGGATCATCACAGGAATACGAATGCATTTTTTCTCTCAAGGATCATCATAGGAATACGAGTTCAAGGATCATCATAGGAATACGAATGCATTTTTTCTCTCAAGGATCATCATTGGAATACGAGTGCATTTTTGCTCTCAAGGATCATCATAGGAATTCGAGTGGATTCTTTAATGATTTTTTCTCTCAAGGATTAGCTTAGGAATATGAATGCATTTTTCTTCTCAAGGATCATCATAGGAATAGTCGAGGATTTTTTGAAAAATTTTCTCTCAAGGATCATCATAGGAATAGGCGTGGAATACGAGTGCATTTTTTCTCTCAAGGATCATCATAGGAATAGGCGTGGAATACGAGTGCATTTTTTCTCTCAAGGATCATCATAGGAATACCAGTGGATTGTTTAAGGATTTTTTCCCTCGAGGATCATCATAGGAATACGCGTGGATTTTTTTAAGTATCGTCAGCATTTTTTTTATTTTTTATTTATTTATTTTTATTTTTTTTTTTTTTTGGAATTTCAGGGGATGTTCTGAAGGATAGTTTTAGGGATCATTACAGATTTTTAAGTATCATCTGGCGATATTTTTTGACGATCATTCGCGGATATTTTTGAGAATCATCAGGGATATTTTGAAAAATATGTGTATGTATATATTCATGGATTATTAGCGGATATTTTTGAAAAATATGTGTATGTATATATTCATGAATAATCTCCAGCAGTTACTTTTAAAGGTTCATGAACAAATGCTTCGAAGTATATCTTTTATACTTCGAAGTATATTTTTTATACTTCGAAGTATATTTTTTATACTTCGAAGTATATTTTTTATACTTCCTTCTTATAAAAGTGTTTTTGTTAATGGATAAATGGAAACATCTGAGCTATGACTTCTACTCCAATAACACTTCCCTCCGATTTCCATTCCACAGTCACAAAGAAGTTTTTATCTACTCCAATAAGAATGCAAACAAATCGAGTTATCTCATCAACAGTATTCCACTGAAAAAAGATACCAACTTTTGTATAAACTCACAGACACACACACCGCAGATTCAATCAAGTCAAGGATATTTCCAAATGAATAAACTCAGCACACACACACACTGCGAGTATCTGGTCGGAATTTCTGGCAACAAAAAAGCTGTGATAAAAGCCAGATCGGTGAAAGGAACACGAAAATTAAAATTTTATTGTTTCAACACACACAAAGCAGCCAGACAGCCAACAAAGAAAAATATGTAAATAAAATCAAATAAAATAATTGAAAATAAAAACGATAATACACAAAATGAGGGGACGACTGCCGCCAAAAAAAGAAATAAAATAAAAAACTGGAATAATATTAAGTTGTCAAAAAAAACGAAAAGAAAATGCGATAAAGGAAATAATAGAAAACAATGAATGCATTACCAACATACTCAAAATTATACTACCACACTAGGGAGGGGGAGGAGGATGTGGCAGGATAATAATATTTAGGGAGAAATGTATATTGATGCACGCACACACATATAAGGTATTGCTACCCATACCAACATCAACAAGGCCAAAGAAAAAGTACCATGGCCGACAACAGAACTTGCTGAAATATGGGCAGGAGAAACAGACCAACCACCGCCAAGCAACCCTTAAAATTCCACAACGCACACACTCACACACATTGGCAAATGCGCAATCCTCCAACGCTGTATAGGATGCTGTATACACCGACACACACACTCACACAGCCACACATTGTGTGAGAAGAAAAATGATGTTGGCACAGGACAACGAGACTGTTGGTTCACGGGGTTCACCAGGTTCAGTTCGATTTTTGAACGAAACGCGTTTACAAGTCTCGCAGTACGGCAGACTTGATACGACACCAGGATATATTTAGTGTTAATTGCGTGTTTCGATATAAATTACAAGAAAAATAAATAAAATTAATTCATGTCTAACAAAAATTAAGAAAAAAATAATAAATATTAAAACACAACTATTGAAACTGTGATTTTTTCGTAAACTACTATATTATTATCTAACAAAAAAATAAATTGTTTTGAATCTATGTTCGAAAAATGATTTTAAGTCGGAATTCATCATCGGTATCTTCACATGAAGATGGTCCCACAGCTTTTGCCAATGTCACAGCATCGGCCAGCCAAATCGCCACGAACGCCAATGACACCGATCAGCAGCATCTGACCTACAACAGTCACTCTCAGCAAATGGCGTCACAGCAGCAGCAGCATCATCATCATCTGAATCATCAGCACTTGACCCTAACGGCACGTCAGCAGCAACACCAACAACAACAACCCGAATTATGTTGTCAACAATGTGGAAATTTAATTCAAATTACAAATTTAAACGAAAAAAATAAATATGACAATTTGAAATTGGCCAACAATATGAAATGTGAAAAGTGTAAAGTAGGTGTTAATCGTAAAGTGATGCGAAAATCAGCAATGAAAACAAATCGAAAACGCAGTGCATCAAGTGAAAATGTCATGAACGAAAAAATCGCACGCGATGAAAATGAAAATAATCACATTGACAACAACGATGATGATATCGATGATGACGCGAACGATGATTTAGATGAAGATGCTGAGATCGATGAAGACATCGATATGGATGAGCTGGATCATGAGGACGACGATGGCGACGAGGATGAAGTTGATCTCATCCACGACGATGAAGATGAGGAGCTGACGCGACGTATACCCAAAGTTGAGAATATTTCTCCAATTCCAAATACAACGACCCTTTTGAAGGATAACAGCAGTAAACCGATTTTAAAATTTAGTGTTTCGGCAATATTGGGTGATACGCGAGAGGGAGTGCGTGTACGAAATGGTAAGGAATTTAAACAAAAGTGTTGTGTACGTTAGAAGTGCTCAAATGTATATTAATTAAAGTAATTGATAACAAATTACAAGAAAAGACTATTTATGGATGGATACAAATAATCATATGTTAAAAAGGCATTTTGAAAATAATTGTTGACATTACAAAACCCATAACGGCATAACATTCTATTCAAGGGTGGTGAATTATATTTGAACCTTCCATAGATAACTGTATGATTTTATGAGGCCAAAATAATAAAAAAACAATGAGCTGAGCAGTATAGTCGGACGGGGCCGACCATATGATACCCTACACAACATCCACGAAAATCTAACTTTCTGCGGCACTACATTCTGATGTATGGTAATATTTCGCGATATTTGCACCCTCTTGACCGACTAGTGGCCAACTAACAAATATTACTAATATTCACTGAAGCTCTTCTAACTACTTGTCCAGATTCCCTTCAACGTGGGTTGTGTTGTGATGTTCAGCTTCTGGCCTATAGATCGACTCGAAAAAACACAAAAAATTAAGTTCTCGGTTCACTTCACCCCAATATTATAACATAATCATCTCCGAAAATTATAGGCATTATCCTTGATCATACCTGGATCCTCATGGAAAATTTCAAAGCGTTCCAAAAACAATAGGGGTCTTCATTGGCCAGAATCCATCCTACATGCAAAATTTCGTGAAGATTGGTCCATAACTGTGGCCTGTATTGTGTTTACAAATTATAATGGACAGACGGACGTAGGACACACATGTCTAGATCGACTCAGCTAGTCGAGATATGTCGATCGGTATACTTAAAGGTGGGTCTAGGACCAAGATTTCGCGGCGTTATAAACTCTTAGGGCTGCACAAAGCTATAATACCCTGACAACATAGTTGTGTAGGGTATAATTAACCATGGGCATAGTCAGAGCATCCTTTTAAGTTTAATTCTGACTTCAATCTGATTTGTTTCCCTAAAGTTTCTGAGTGTCCCTAAAGTTTCTTTGGAGTAGCCTCCCTATAATGGTTCTCCCAATTATTCGGTATTTTAAGAATTTTGGGAATGTTTTGGGTCGTTGAAATTTTGGAATGGCCCACCATATAAAGTCCAACCACCTTTATATGATTTTTTTTGGTACTGATGGCGCATGTTCCTACCGAAGAGACTTTATATTACATTACGAAATAATGTAACATGTTATTCCCGAAAATTGGGGGTTAAAAAACATAATTTTACAGAACATTTTCAATATAACCCCCAATATAAGGTATCGTCATTTTCGCATATTCAAGCCCTATACCAATTTTCCAGCCAGGGCTTTTGGTATTTCGTTTTCTCCTTTGGGCATTTTATCGTGGCATAGCCACCATAAGTTCCAATCGTTTTGGATATTTTAAATGCCAACCTCATAATGAATGGTATACAAATTTAGGCCCGGCTGAACGTAACGACTTGCAAATTATTCATTAAGTTAATCCACTAATTTTTATTATTTATCTTTTTAAAATTGGAAAAACGCTGTGAAATATTTCTTGCCAAATATAGAAAATGTCACCCCTTCTATTTTTACAATATTCATATTATTTTTTAATAGAGTATAAAAAAAATAATTACCCAGCAATAAATCTGTAACAATAACATTGCCATTAACTTCAAAATGCCAACAATTCCAGTTGCTGTGGATCCTCTCGGTCATGGTCACAGATCACAGCCCTCCTTCTTGTTTTAAGTCCACTTTAGTTATGGATAAAGGATTAGCCAATGATTTAGATCAGTTGTTACTCTCTTTTTTGTTTTGGTGTCTCCTTTTTTACTCATCATTTTAATGAAGGTATTAACGGCATTGTTCGAAGCATTGTTGGGCCTATCAAAACACAATTCGCTTAAGCCTCGAGGCATTAAAACGCTGCTGTAAAAACAAAAAAATTATTTTATATACGTTTTTTTAATCATGTTTAAATTATTGGTTGCGGTAAGTTCCGTTTTTTTAAAAAATAGACAATGAAAAAGAGAGTCAGAGAGCCTTGCACATCCTTTAAATCCCCACACACACACATACACCGAAAATATGCTACAATGTAACAATGAATAGTTTTGAGCACATCTATTTCGTTTTTTAATTCTTATCGGGGGTTAATTTTCAACGTTGGGCCTTTTGACTGCCAGATTCTTTGTTGGGTAGATAAAGATCAACAAGCCACAATGTGAACCCCACACAGGAACACACCGCACACACATCAGACAATGTGATCACATAGAAATGCCCACCAAATGAAAGAGATTCAGTTCGTCATTCTTTCATTCATTTGGAAGGCGTAACTAAATTGCCCATCCGTCACTCATAAACTGCAGTTTTCTCTTCTATGTGTGTGCGAAAGTACACAGCACGCTTTCAATGGTGAGCGGAAATAAAAAATATTGTTTTGTGGTAGACAGTTTACGCAACGATTTTTTATGTGGAAATCCGCCTTTTTTACTAACCGTCGGTATTTATAGATTAATTGTCATAATTTTTTTTTGCGGTATTGGTTGCGTTTTTTTATTAGGGCAATTTTTTGGGTAATTTTATGATTATTTTTTCGCAAAAAAAAAATTAAACGAATATTGAATTTATTGGCATTGTGAGTGGTGATTAGGGCACGTGTGAGGGTTTTTGGGAATTGTTTAGGGCGAATATGTTTTTTTGTAGGTGTTTCGATGTCATTTAAGGTGATTAATTAGAAACAATAGTTTTTTATTGATATACAGGAACTACAAGCTACTACCATACTCCTACCATTTAATTAGAAGGTACCTACGGCATGTTTCTATGGATTTTTTATTCGCTCCACCATAAGGGGTAGACACGTGGACTTAAATTGAAAATATTTAGAGAAAAAGCTGTTTACCCACCAAGGAGTCTGAATGCAAAATTACAACCACTTCGTAATGCGAAAAAATATAGTCACTTCGATTGCAAAAATTGTTGGGGATCATCAAATTTGTCATTACGTTTGCAAAACATCGAAGTATTCACGAGACACTATTCGGTAATTTTAGCAGGTTATCAATAGATTTTGCTGTAATTTGGTATTTTGTGTTCTCATTGTTTGGAAATCCTCCTACCAAAAATTATAATATTAGTCCACTTTTTAGGGTAGCCCCATTATAACGGTATCTCGCAAATTTCGGTAGTTTGTGTTAGATTGGTCAGTGTTTTCAACTAAATCGGCTGTAAGCTCATATTTTGGATTAGCATTTTGTAGAATATTTCTCTATCAAAAATTATCAATATTATCCCAAGTTTCAGGGAAGTCCTCGTTTTTCGGAATTTTGATCACATTTTTTACAGAATTAGCATTAATACAATATTATTACCCTCATCCTTATGACTAATGAGGGAATATACACTTTGATACGGCAAAAAGGTGGATCATCGAAATATTGGTTTTAGACCCCATCTTTCTTTGGACCAAAACCGTTTCTGATAATTTGGAGTCGATTTACAAAAGTCCGTCCGTCCGCCACTCAAAGGGAGTAACTGATTTCCTCCAAACTTTGCACATCATAATATTTCTTCCAAACTTAGTTCAAGTTCGATGATGGAATATCGAATATCGGTCCACTGCTTCTGGTACAAACCCTCAAAATGGTCAAAATTTAGCTGAAATTAAATTTTATAATATCATACTAGCGGACTATACAATATGAACAAGACTTTGCACAATCTATTATCTTTACCAAGCCAATATCAAGTCCGAAGAAAAGACCCATTGGACCACTTCTTCTGGTACCTCTCCCATAAATGGTCAATATTTCCAATGTTTATAAATCCAATATCAGCCGAATGGAATGGCCGATTTTCGCCAAACTTTGCATGACCTGTTATATTTACAAAGCCTAGTTCAATTCCGAAGGTGGGAACCTCTCCTTCTGGCACCTCACCCACAAAAGTTCAATGTTGTATAAACTTGTACATTTAATTTTAAGTAAATTGAATAACCGAGTTGGTCTATAATAAATCCGAAGACCTCCGAATATTATAGACTGGGTGTCTATATCTGTTGGTAATATCGACTGACACTTTTTTACTTCTCATTGGATGGAATATATTCCTAAAAAATATAAATATCCGAGTTTACTTATAGCCTAAATAAATGATAGACCCAGTGTTCGAAATATTAAAGATTTCAGGCATGCTTTTCCACCGACATCTTGAAAAATCTTCATAACAAACAATTATAGATATAAGTTCACATTTTGCTATAACCACCCAAATAATGGTACACCCATCAGAATGGTACACCATTCAGACATATTTTTCTTTTTACCAAAAATGATGCATTTTTTAATCGAAGTGACTATATTTTAGCCTTCTGGGACGATGGTGAGTAAACATATTTTTTACAGAATATTTTTACGCGTCATTTTCGCAATTTTCAAGGTCATAGTAAAATTTTCCAACTTCAGTTTCGAGGGCATCAACAGCACCTCGTGGAAATGAAAATATAAACATTTTTGAAGTACCGCAATTGTATCCTCTATCACACGTATCCTCTATCGCTTTTGGACAACTTTCACGACCTACATCTTTAAGAGAGCGTCAGCTACAATTAAATAAATTTTTTGGCAAACTGATTTTTCATGTTACTGTAAACAACACAACACATGATCGCACGTTAACCCATACTTAGTAGTATTTTTATGCTAAAAACTATTACATTTTCCAATGAAAATTTCAAATGACGCCCAAGTGTTGCATAGGACAGGATATTTTTAATATATATGTAACGCTCGTTTTTCCAGACGTACTCTCAGTTGTCTCGTTTATGTGCACAAAACTGAATGAAAGAGCGACTCCACTTTACAATTGAGAATCGAATCACGTCTGCATCGAAATGATTCGAAAATTGGAAGACACACTGTCATAAGTGGATTATTTCTAGACGTAGCCACCCAAAGGGAGACAAATTAGGCATTACTTCTTCCAAGTCAATATTGAAGCACGTTTTTAATTTTTCCCCCCTTATAATTCCTAAATTTTAACATGTCTAAGGTTCTTGGGACAATTGTCGACCACCAGTGTGTTTGATATTTCACATTGTAAATATAGACCCAGATTTTGATATTGTCTAAATATTGCAGCTTAATTTTAACTCTTCACCGATCTTAACGCACCACCGATTCTAACATAAGTTTGGCATCTTTGAATAGGCAAGGAGTACTTCTCGCAAACAAATTTTCAATATATATCCTGGTTAGAATTATTTTTTATTTTCAAAAAAAGTATCATCTTTTGGGTATAGTAGATGTTCCGACGTTCTGACAACACCATATTATCCTATGATTTTTCACATCATGTTACAAAATCAATCTGTCTGCTATTTGTGTATAGTTGTTGAAGCTTCCAGGTGACATCCTGTTGCCGTTCCCGACTTCGCTAAATGAGTTAACCTTAAAACAAAGGATATTATTAAAGATTCGTACACATATCCTATACGAGGATATTTAAATCATTGGATGGCGGAAATAAACACTCTCTTGCACACTTTCACACACACACACACCCATCATCGTCATATGTAAAATTATGTGTGTATGTATGTTCACATATCCCATATCCGCCTGCAGGCAACAAATTATGACTTCAAAAGAAATTTTAATAATTAAATTTATTCCTTGAATGGTGGCAGTGGATGGGTGGGTGTTGCTGTTTGCTGCTAATGATTATATAACTTAAGTCATTATCGTCACAGTTCTGGGTATTGTTGGAAATAATTATACGCATCATTCACATGATTGTTGTTGTTGTTTGTGTAATCTTTTGACACTTCAAAGTGTGGATTATTTCACTTTTTTTGAGAAAATGCGAAATGTGATGTGAGTTCAACAAATTTATTCCAAGAAGTTGATGTCTGCGATGGAAAGTTTTCAGCGAAACCCTTTGGTTTTGAGACACACATGTAGTCACACACACATACATACAAATGTAAATTTATTTTAATATGGTGTCATTAGATATGAAACGTATAAGGTCTTCAAGAGATAGAAAGTCACTAGGGTCTTCTCTAGAAGACATTCTATATATATAGAATACCAATAAGAGCACTTCTATATAAACAACTCATAAATCTATATATACCTTGGACCTAAAGATTATTTTTTCAAGGACTCAACAAAATTTAAAGCATGGTTCCTTAAAATTAGAAGACGTGGAGTTTTTAAAAACAATATAAACTTTTCATGGACAATCTCACATATTAGGGTGGATATTTTTATTTTTCAAGACCCAACACTATAAGCCAGATTTTTATTAACTATTATTTGAAGGACCCACTCAGCCATGAAGGTCGATTTTTTAGAGATATTTTAAAAGCACCCACATAGCTTTAAAAATGTTTCTTTTTTTAATTTATTCTCCAAGGACCCATATAGCTTTATGCGTAGATTTTTATAACCTACACAACTATGTTGTCAGGGTATTATAGCTTTGTGCAGCCCCAGTTTGTAACGCTGCGAAATATTGGTCCTAGACCCACCTTTAAGTGTACCGATCGTCATATCTCGACTAGCTGAGTCGATCTAGACATGTGTGTCCGCCCGTCCGTCCGTCGGTCTGTCCATTATAATTTGTAAACACGATACAGGTCACAGTTATGGACCAATCTTCACGAAATTTTGTATGTAGGATAGGTTGTGGCCAATGAAGACCCCTATTGTTTTTGAAAGAGATCGGTTAATATTTATTTATTTATTTTTTTCGGTTTTTCTGGTCGCTCCAGAGGCCGCAATTATGGCCGTGAATTTTTGATGGAGAAGGGGATCGGGCCAAAGAATAACCATGCCTGTTTTGATAAAGATCGGTCAATATTTAGCGGGTCAAATGGACCCTGACTTTTGGTTGAAGAATGACAAAATTTGTATCCTATAGCGTATAGATTTGCCCCTGAAGGACATAAACACGAGAAGTTGATAGTATCTCCAAGAGGAGTGGTTGACCTTTAAAGTATGGTCAAGGACAACGCCAATAATTTTCGGTGATTATAATATAATAATGTTGGGAAGAAGTGGACCGAAAACGTATTTTTTTCGAGTCGATCTACAGGCCACAATTGAAAGGCGAACATCACAAAACAACCCACGTTGAAGGGAATCTGGACAAGGAATTAGAAGGACTGTACCGAATATTATTAATATTTGTGGATCTCTGGTGGGTCATGAGGGTGCAAACATCGCGAAATATTGCCCAAGCTCAGAATGTGGTACCACAGAAAGTTAGATGGTCAAGGAAGTTGTGTAGGGTATCATATGGTCGGCCCCGTCCGACTATACTGCTCCGCTCACTGGTTTAAGTTATTTTCCAAGGACCCACACAATTATAAGCGCGGATTTCTTAAAAACTAGTTTCAAGGACCCACACTGCCATAAGCGCATACTTCTGAAACATTATTTTCCACACAGCTTTACGCGTGGATTTCTTTAATTTGTTTTCAAGAACGTAGATTTTCCAAAAATAATAAGCTATAAGCGGGGATTTCCTAAAATTTTTCATCAAAAACATTTTTTTTCAATGACTATATGCAGATTTATTTTACAACTGCTGTAAGTGTGGATTTTTTTTTTAATAATTTACAAGGACCCATTCAGATAAATGCTTGGATTTTTTAATATCCTTAAAAGCTACCCGCAACTATATATAATATTACTTCAATTTTTGTTCAAGTATATTTAACAAAATATAAGCACTAATTTATTAAAATTTATTTGTCAAATACCCAAACTGATAAATGCTTGGATTTTTAAAAAATACAGATACAAGGGCAGATTTTTTTTAATTTTTTTTTAATAATTTTTCAAATACCCACACAGCTGTGAACTTGGATTTTTTAAAAACTTTGTTTAAATCTTTTCTAAAATACTTTACATCCTTTTATATTTTCTAACCCTTTTTTTCTGTTTGTTTTCCAATTAATTTCAGAATTTATGCAACCACAACATATCTGGCCTTATTTACAACAAAATTTCATACATCATTCACATTTTCCGCATCCAGCATTTCTAACGCAACATCAGCACAATCACAACAACATCCATAGCATCCACAGCAGCAGCAACAACAACAATGGCATTGTCGCCGCCAATAGTTGTCAACCGCAAACCACATCATCGTCATCACCTGGCAGTACGATTAGTGATAGTGACAATCATTCCACCTGCACCGCAAACAGTATCAGTACGAATACCAGTAGTAATAACAACAACAACAGCAGCAGCAGCAACACTTTATGCTCCAACAACAATGGCCCAAATGACAAGGATAACAGTCAACACCAGTCTCACGATTCAACGGAGGATAACAATCGAAGACATACAATGCCTTTGGGAACGACGGCGGGTCAAGAAAAGCAAACAATGCCTTTACACAATCCAGGAGGTGGTGGACCCCCATTACACAGCCAACAACAGCAACCGCAACATCCGCAAGCCGTAATTGCCAAACCCCTGCCTAGTCGACCAACACCATTTCTGCCGCATAGTCTTCAGCATCCACACTTGCATTCATTGTTGGCTCACTGTAGGAATCCCTATATGAGTGGTAAGTAGACACACATGCAAACACACCCACCCACACACACACATGTGTGTCTGTGATTTCTAAATATCCTTTCTAATATGAATCAAATGTTATTGGGTGTTGAAATGAATACAGCTGTGCGTGAGTGTTCTAATTGTTGTCAAACGACAACACCATGGACAAATTGCAACACAGCCATGCATGCAACAATTAAATGCAACTGCAACAACCATAAAATTCTCCACACTTCACACATTTGTCCCCAACCTGCTTTTCTCCTCTCCCCACCACCGATTCAGTGCAATTTTATAAATTTTCCCACGCATTTTCATTTCATTTACAGTTGGTGCTCAAGTATTCCCTCTGCCTCCTGGACAAGGCTTTCCCTGGGCACATTCAACACGTGGTAAACCACGTAGGGGTATGATGCGTCGTGCTGTATTCTCTGGTAAGTGTAAATGTGGCCAATACTGGTCAATGGGGGTAAAAACACTTTTAATTTATTGCTGTGGTTTTGTCACAGACGAACGGACGGACATAATTTTCGAAGAGCAAAAGAGCCTAACCTGTAATTTCTACAGTTTGGTTACTTGGGTGGGGTGTTCAGATTATTATTATTGTGGGAACTCTGTTATTGGTAGTTAATATTGGTAGCAATTAATTTTAATTGTTTTTTTTTTCTTCGGACTTAATTTTTGTTCATATTTCTCTTTCTCATTCTTCCGGCTTATTGCAATACAGATTCACAGCGTAAAGGCTTAGAGAAACGTTTCCAGCAGCAAAAGTATATCAGCAAACCGGATCGCAAGAAATTGGCCGAACGTTTGGGTCTTAAAGATTCTCAGGTAAGTTTTTGTAAAGTTTTTTTATAGGTCTTATAATTTTTTTTGCATATGAGTATATGGCGCACGTCCAACACGTCCAATTATATTTATATCGGGAGCAATTTGAAGGGAATATGGAAAGAAAAAAACTTATAAAAAAATAATTTTCTAGAACCTCGTGGATGATAAACATTATTTTTAAAACAACCACACAGTATAGCCTTTTGCCCGATCCCCTTCTCTATGCAAAAATTCACGGTGTTTGGGCCATAATTGCGGCCTCTGGAGCGACCAGAAAAACCGACAAAAATAAAGTTTTTGGTCCATTTCATCCCCTAAATATTAACCGATCTTTTCCAAAAACAATAGGGGTCTTCAATGGGCAGAACCCATCCTACATGCAAAATTTCGTGAAGAATAATCCATAACTGTGGCCTGTATCGTGTTTACAAATTATAATGGACAGACGGCGTTACAAACTTTTGGGGCTGCACAAAGCTATAATACCCTGGCCAAACCAGGACTAACGGTCAAGATGGTTCTGCTATACATTTGGTGGGACTGGAAGCGGATTATTTATTCTGAGTTGTTTCCATATGACCAAACACTAAATTTTGATCTCTACTGTCAACAAATGGACCGTTTGAAGATAGCAATTGACCAGAATCGGCCAGAATTGGCAAACGGTAGAGGTGTCGTGTTCCACCAGGACAACATCTACAGTTACTCGCCAGAAACTTCGGGAGCTTGGTTGGAATGTTTTAATACATCCGCCATACAGTCCGGACTTGGCTACAAGCGACTATCATATTTTTCTTGCATTGCACAATTTTTTAGCGATTAAAAATTGTTATCTAGAGAGGATTGTGAAAATCGACTACTAGAGTTTTTTTGCAAATAGAGATCAGGAGAGAGGCATTATGAAGTTATCTTTAAAACAGCAACAAATCATACAACAAAACGATGCATATTTGGCCCAAATCGGACATTCCAAAGCATGTTAAGTAAAGTCCTATAGTTCATATAATAATGTATTTATGTTTCCCCAACCTCATATTTCTCAAGGTCCTGTATTTTTTAAATAAATGTTCAAGGACCACACCACTTCATCTTCATATTTGGAGTTCTCATTGGGCAGCATATCGGCCTGCTTATCAATATTTTCCCACATTTTGGTTAGCATTGTAAATAAAATACAATAAAATACAAAACCTTGTAAAAAATTTACAATGGCATAACCCCCATATAATAGTCCCGATAAATTTGAGATATTCTGAATGTCGACTTTATGGTGGAGGCTATAAAATGTTCGACCCAGAAGAACTTAACGACGTTAAGCTATAATTAGTTTTCGTGGAACTTCAGAGTAGGTTGGATTTATTTAATATTTCTTTCATTTATCTGCATTTGTAAAATCAATTTTTATGGCGCCTCCAAGAGCGAAGTTTTAACCAGTAAGGAAAGTTCAAAAGTCGGTCGGGGCCGACTATATGATACCCTTCACCACTATGGGTACATGAAACACATGTTAATATCTAAAATGGGACGTAACTATATAAAGCAGCTATATCAAAATCTGAACCGATTCCAACAAAATTTCACATACTTCAGTCGGGACCTAATTTAGTACTCTGTGCAAAATTTTGCTTTAGTCGGAACACTATTGGGAGTTTGGTGAACTTTTACATTAAATCGGCCGATACTATAAATCGGAGCTATATCTAAATCTGAACCTATTTCAACAAAACTTGTCATATAACTATCTAGACCTAATTCAATACTCTGTGCAAAATTTTGCCTAAATCGGTTCACTACCGGGAGTTTGGTCCTTGGGCCTATTAAGTTACATGTGCCAAATTTCATCCAAATCGAATCACAAATGGGGCCTGTATTTTGACGGACATACATAAATCGACTCAGAAAATGATTCTATACATATTCTCAAAAGGAAACATGTGTCTATCTCGATTATTTTTGCCTGTTACAAACATATGCACAAAGACATAATACCCTGTACCAGAGTGTGGTGAAGGGTATAAAAATGTTCCTTTACGCACTCTCAGACGATGTTTTTAATATGAAACCACAGATCAAGCTTAGATTTTTGAATTACTTGTTAATTAATTTGTCTTTAAATTTCAAAGAAAAATATTCACGTTTATCGAACCTCAACATTAATGAATTTAGACCCTCAAGCCCACTTTATCACATCTAAAAATTTCATTTCGTAAAAAAAAAAATTTCAAGGACATCAGACATCTAAATTTGTATTTTTGTTTAAGAATTGATTTTAGACCTCCAAAATATATTTCGTGGTTTCAAAAATACACACAATATATAATAAATATATGCAAATAGTGAAAATTAAGTTTTCGAATTTAAATAACATTCGAATCAGTAATCCCCTATACGCGTTTTTCTCAAAAACAAATATAATACGACATAAAACCATACAATAGAACAACCAGCAGTAAAAAGGACTCCGCCCATTATTCTCTGGTCATATTCCACTTGTAAATAATGGAAATAAAGAAAACCAAAAACAATAAAACACAATCAAATAGTACAAAACCATAAAAATGATTAATAGAAAGACGACGGCAACAATGCCAAAGGCCGACGGTAAAACAAAGACCCATACTTGAAAGCACAAAAGGAAGGAATAGAGACGAAAACATAAAAAAAGTGAACATGACCAGCAATACATATACAAACAGCATACAATACAATGAAAATACATACAGCACACAACAACACATCATTGAGACTCCACTTAAGGTTATACCAAAATACGAATAACTCTCGAAAAGGATATACCAGTAAAATGTAAGCATACGTACGTTTGTGTGTATGTGTGTGCGATGAGAAACTTACAACATTATTTAACTCCAAATACCATAACAGCAGCAGTAGCAAGAACAACAACATCTGGTTAACACCCTCCTAGACTTAAGTGCGCAGTCTCAATCCCCCAGTGCGTCTGTGGAGCAAAATAAAAAAACGTTTTCCAATAAAAAAAAAAACATTCTTGTGGTTCACAGCCATTTTCTTTTACTTCACACACACACACACATATACACACAAATTTATTGTCGGCAACATTATCCCACTTTACATATTTTATTAGAGTAGTATTGCAATATGGAAAGCTGGAAGAAGAAAAAAAATAAAATAAAACAAAGATGTTGAAATTTGAAATCTGTTGGAAATTTATGCATAACCGTGTGGTGAATATAAAATAGGAGAGCTGGATACGAATCAAAAAAAGAAGGCGATATATATTTCAATTATCAAAAGAAATATTTTTAAATATTTTGTTTTATTAAATTGAGAATTAAAAGAAGTTGAAAAGTTTAAAACAAATTAACATTTTTAAAATATTCAATTTGTTTTAGAAGAGTGTATTTGTTAAATAACCAACACAACATTTTTTAAAAATATGCACTTAAACGTGGACTAAAAACAAATCAAGGACACTAATCTTTAAAGCGAGATTTTTAAAAAAAAATATTTTTCAAGCATCCACACAGGTATAAGCATAGATTTTATAAAAAAAAATATTTTTCATGGATCCCCATAGCTATGAGCGTGGATACTTTAAAAATTATTTAAAAAAATACTTTTATGATTCCATTTAGCCATACGTGTGGATTAATATATATATATATATATATATGTTTTTTATGGATCTGTTCAGCTATATGGTTAGTTTTTCATGGACCTGTTCAGCTAAAATCGAGGAATTTAAACAAAAAATACGTTTTCCAGGTTCATTCCTGGATTTATCAAAAATGGATAAATCTATAAGCTTCAATCTGTTACATTTTTTCTCCAAGTATATAAAGTATTTTTTAAAACACATATTTTTAAAAATCTGTTCCACGCCAATACGAATATTTAATATGAGTTTTTCAAGGATTTTTACTGATATATGTTTGAATATTTAAAGAGAGTTTTTTCAAAGACTAATGGTGGATATTTCTTGAATTCGTTACGAGCAGATTTTTAAGAATATTTTTTTGAGAAACTAGCGTTTTAAGGCTAAGATTTAATTTTTAGCACACTTTTTAATGGCGAAGTTTGAGATTTTGGTTGCGAATTGTACTGGCATTTTTTTAAAGATTCTGATAAATTATTTCGTTCAGAATCAAAAATAAATTTTTTTCTAGTACATCTTTTACATCGGAAATCAAACTAATAGGGTTCTAATTTTTATCAAAACTTTGCAAACCTAAACAGAGACCGAATATCGGCTTTATCGTTACACACCTTCTGTGCTCACCTATCCCACGAAGTATCAATATTTTCAAAATTTGTATATGGAAATGGAATTTGGAATTTAAACCTTCATAGCATATCGTAATATTTTTACGATTTAGATGACGAGTAGGTATAATATATTCAGAGGGTTCTTTTTAAAGGGTCAGGCTTATGGAAAAGCTTATTGTCTTCATATGTAACATACGAATAAAATACTATAAAGCTATTGTAGGAGGGCTTATTACAGAAGGCAAAGAGATCTTCTATTAATGGACCAGACTATATCTTTATAGAAGGCAACTTCGTTCTTTTATAGACATTTTAATGGGCCAATAGTAAATATAATGATTTTTAAAAATTATTTCGTCCAGGTTCAAAAATATGTTTTTTTCTGGTACCAACTCAAGTATTAGGTTAGGGAAAAATAAATCCATAATCCATGGCCAGGAAGGTTCTGCTATGCATTTGGTGGGACTAGAAGGGGATTATTTATTATGAGTTGCTTCCATATGGCCAAACCCTAAATTCTGACATCTACTGTCAACAACTGAACGGTTTGAAGATAGCAATTGACCAGAAACGGTCAGAATAGGCCACCAGGATAGGTGTCGTGTTCCACCAGGACAACGCTAGGCCACACACATCTACAGTGACTCGCCAGAAACTTCGGGAGAAGTTTTAATTCACCCGTCATACAGTCCGGACTTGGCACCAAGCGATTATCATTTTTTTCTTGTATTGCAAAATTTCTTTAATGAAAA